TGGTCGTAGCTTCTGCAGCATACCGAGGGATGCCCCCATCATACCCCCAAGGGGAAGGGCTGCCTCTCTGAGCAGCTGCTCAAAGAGGCAGCCCTTTTTGACTGCCGAATCCCAATTAAAACTCAGAGGCACTGGCCAAGGGCTGCGTTCCCCAAAACTGCTCGGGCACCCTATACAGAAATGCAGCTACTTACGGTACTTCGTTTTCTTCTGTTTGTAAGACTTTTCAGATGTTTCTATGTAGTTCGGCAGTTGGATCACCTCACCTGATGTCATTGAATCTGAAAAAGATTCAGAGTTTGGAAGCTCTTCCTTCAAGCACGGGCACGTTTTGACCCAGCCAGGCACCTGGACCTCCTGACAAGAAGTGGGGCGTGAGTTGGATCTCAAAACATCAGAAGGAAGCCTCCTCCCCGCCCCATCCCCAGCACCAATGCGTCAGGAGAACTTAAAGGAAGGTCATAATGACGAACAACAAGAAAGCAGGGATTATAGCAGAACGGAAGCCAGAAGCCGGTGAGAAAGGGGGGAATTTGACAGAATAGGAGCCCAATGAAGGAAGTTTCACAGAGTGGGAAGGCCCTGTCCTCTATGTCCACCAAGCGCAACTTTGGGGACTGCAGGAAAACACTCTCCATCAAAAGCCAAGAGGCCTGCAAAAAATCAGGAGCTGGTAGCCCCTTTTCCGGCCAACGAATTTTAGTAAAAGGCTCCTGAAGTTTTGCCACTGACTCACACGGCTGTCCTCCAGCAGACGCTGCCTGAGCAGGATCTGGTGGGAGAAGGAGGCACCTTTAACAATCCCACTCCGTGCACAGTCCTAAACATTGAGCAGAAGAGGCCTTGCTTCTATGAAAAGATGGACAGAGCAGCAGCTCCGGGTTGCTCTGACTGTCGCTTCATCTCCTTTCCCAGCTTAAATCTCGATTTCTAACACTCAGCAGGTAAGAGGCATTCCTGACATTTCATGTTGCTCCGGCTGAGTCTATCTAGTCCCAAAACAAGAGATGCCCAGAATCTTTCCCACCACTGAGAAGACCCTCCTGCCTCCAATACTGGACCCAAGCCACGGGCAACATCATTCACGACCGAGGGCCAGTGCCAGCCTTCGCCAGCTCCGTTCACCTGCCTGGTCCCTCTGAAGCCACCCAAGTGGGTGGCCATGGTTGGATCTGCCAGCTGGGCAGTTTCACAACAGACCCCCTCTCCTTCTGAGCTCTTCCCACCATTTAGTATCACTGAGTCAATCTGGGGAGGGAGAAAGTGGATGGAAGGCAAAGGACAGGGCTTTTCTCAAAGTGCTGAGCATTTCTGAAATATCATCCTAGCCATCCTAATCTATGGGAAAATCCAGGAAGAGAGCAAAAGTAAGGGGTGGTCCAAGCTGCTGATCTTGAGGGTCACATCCAATTTTAGGAACGGCCTTAAGCCCTGCAAGTGCAGGAGGCAGAGCTGATGGGGTTTTCACCCCAGAATTAGCCACACTGGCTTGGCCAATGGGTGCCCCCGAGTCAGCTTGCGAAGGCACAAGGCATTTGGGGGCCCCAAAGTCTTCTGCAGCTTCACAAGTGGTAATGGCTAAAATTATACATGCTTCTTTAAACAGGACTATCTTCGGTGACCGCACAGTTTCAAGGATCGCTGGAGGGAAGCCATTTCTCTCACACGAACCCCACTTAGTGCTTCGTCTTTTCCGGGCCTCCCAGTCCTGCGAAGTAACCCAGTCCAGATGGTGTGGTGATGCCAGATTGAGTTTGGGTTATGCTAATCAATACGCCGAGTGAAAAGAAGCCTTGGGGCTGAGCCAAAGAGACAGAAAGAATGAAAGGGTCCCGTAGCCGGAGAGAAGGACGAGAGGGGCTGCCAAGACGTGGGAAATGAGAAGATTTGAACAGAGACCAGGATCCAAAACTCTGGTGATGGCAGGGGGGTGAATACCAAAGCCCCGCCAAGCTTTCCCATCTCAGCTCAGTGGTCTTCCTGGGAGCTCCCTTGCATTCTTGCCTCTTGCCTGCCAGTTTCAAAAGTGGGGGTAAGCCCAGCCCAAGGGGCAGGATTCCTCCCTCTCTACTTACAGGTTCCACTACCGATCGATGGTTTTCTTAAGGCATTGGCCATGCTCCTCCTCAGGCTGACCATGGGTTCTTCAAGAGGGTGGACTGATGCCAAAAGCAACTGGACATCTAAAATGAAGACAGGACAAAGGCTATCATTTCGCAAAGTGACAAAGAACTTTACAGACCTGTGCATGGGTTTCCACCACCACCCTCCTAACAGAAACAGAGGAACCATGCACAGCCTCCTCTGTTGGACTTAGGAAGTTCTTTCCCTTTTCAAATGCCAGAGCTCTGTTCACTTGATTGTTTCCCAATCTGGCGACTTCCAGATGAGTGGCCTTCAACATCCAGAACATCCAGCAGTTGGAGGATACACATCTGAAGGTTGGAAAACCTAGCCTTAGACAATTAACATGCTACCTGGTTACTGTGGAGCTTTAAGGCAACTCTCTAAAAAGAGAGACGGACAAAACAGACGTGAAATGGGTTCCATCTGTTCCTTTGAATGCAGTGCATAGGCTGTGTCGGTCAACCACGCAGCAGAAATGAGATTGGGGCTCCAAGATGGTTCCTCCAATACAGGAAGAGGCTTGGAGGGACATTCTTGGAGAACCAGCTCCCGCAGTGGAGGGCTTCTCAATCTTAGTGCCCCACACAAAGCTCAGCTGCCAGACATCACTGGTGGATCATGGGATGGATTGGTGGCACCAAGAAGCATGCCATTACTCTTTGCCCAGTCATCAGCTGAGTTTGCGCCCAGTCTGCTGGACCGAGGCCAGGATTGGAGGGGGGAGCTCTTGGCATCCCAAATGGAGATCCCCTACAGCAGTGTTGTCCAAACTTGGCCACTTTAAGATGAGTGGACTTCACCCCCCAGAATCCCCCAGCCAGCAGGGCGGGCTGAGGAATTTTGGAAATTGAAGTCCACTCATCTTAAAGTGGCCAAGTTTGGACAACACTGCCCTACAGTTTCCAGAATTAAATTTCAGATCTTCCTCCCCAAAGGCCCCCAGGGAGGGAATGACATGACATGGAATGACAGCATTCCCTACCAGCCTTCTACAAACTGGCCCCCACATCCAAGGCTCGCTATGATCCAAAACCATCCAAAGTGGGTCCCTTTGACAGATTTGCCTCCCTTACATCTCTGTGGTGCTTTTCCTCCAACACAGACCAGGAATAAGGACATTACCC